CTCTCGGGAGGCAGTTCCTAGCATCGAGGCGCTTAGCGTGGAACAAGGTGAGGGTGGTCTATTTATATGCGTAGATGTGTACATGTGTACATATGTATATGCACACACACACACACACACACACACACACACACACACACACACACACACACACACACACACACACACACATATATATATATATATATATATATATATATATATATATATATATATATATATATATATATATATATATATATATATATATATATATATATATATATTTATATAGACTGTATATATATATATATATATATATATATATATATATATATATATATATATATATATATATATATATATATAACACACTATGCACATGTTTATATTTTATGTATGCAGATAAGTATGTGTTACTATGCATGTATATATTTTGTGTGTCTGATTGTATATAGTAGATTAATGGCCAAAACTGATCTCTCACTCTCTGAAACCTTTTCTGAAAAGTCTGTTTCCCTCATCCACTTGCAGCATTCATCCACCTCAAACCAGCGAAGACGATGAAGCTCTCATTCGTGTTGGGCGTGGTGACAGTGGTGGCGGCCGTGGCACTCTTCGCTACCCCGTGCCAGGGCCAGCTTTGGGAGACGTTGGTCCCGCTCATCACAAAGCAGGTCGTGGGGTAAGGGAGACTACTCTTAACTGTAGTCTGAAAATATATCACAGAATGTATTCTAAAATATCACAATAGGATATGTTGTTATTTTTTTCCAATTCATTCAAAAATGCTATTTTTTAAATCATAAATGTATTTATATACGTTCCTAATTCTCTGTAAAAATGAATTCCATATATACACATTTCTTTATATTTATAGCTGTTTATCACAAACACATAGAAATATAGATCTATTTCCAAAAAAAGAAATAAAAACAATACATTATACAATACAATCATGACATTACACTATGGCATTCTAATACAACACAGTCTAATCACAAATCACCTGTAAACACGTACTAATAACCCTCAATAACTATTCCTAGACTATGGAAAAATGGCGAAAGAGAGTTCTTTGGTCACCAGTGCACTTACTCCGTCACGCCCAAAGTGAAGAGTTTTGAGCTGTACTTCAAGGGAAGAATGACATGCCCGACCCTTAGTAGTATGAGAGGAGAAGGTAAGAAATAATTTAGAAATGATAAGATAGCAAGGTAGATGAATATTAATGAGTATATTTTAATGTAAAAATGCCTGTGTGGAGGATTTACCTTGGTGTATGGGTAGAGTTTATTCTTCTTCTCCTAATATGTCTAGTTCTATTTATGGGGATTTGTTTAATCTTATGTTTTGGATATAATTCTTTGGTTCATTTAAAAATGAATCCGTCTTTTGTATTCATTATAAATGCTTTCTCTCTTTTTTTTTCTCTCTCTGTCCTACTTCCTCACTTTTCCCATTCCCTGCTAGCTCCCTTCCCTCTCTCTACCTCTTTTTTCCTCTCTCTCTCCCTCCTTCAGTTCTTCCCTCTCTCTCTATCTATTCACATCCCTCTCTCTACCTGTTTTTCCCCTCTCTCTCCCTCCTTCATTATTCCCTCTCTCTCTATCCACTCCAATCCCTCTCTCTACCTCCTTTTCCCCCTCTCTCCCTCCTTCATTATTTCCTATCTCTCTATTCACTCCCATCTCTCTGTCTACCTCTTTTTCCTCTCTCTCCCTCCTTCAATTCCTTCCCTATCTCTCTATCCACTTCTATCCCTCTCTCTACTTCTTTCCCCCCCTCTCTCTTCCTCCTTCATTATTTCCTATCTCTCTGTCTACTCCCATCTCTCTGTCTACCATTTTTTCCTCTCTCTCTCCCTCCTTCAATTCTTCCCTATCTCTCTATCCACTCCTATTCCTCTCTCTACCTCTTCCCCCCCCCCTCTCTCTTCCTCCTTTATTATTCCCTATCTCTCTACCTACTCCCATCTCTCTCTCTACCTCTTTTCCCCCCTCTATCTTCCTCCTTCATTATTCCCTATCTCTCTATCTACTCCCATCCCTCTCTCTACCTCTTTTTTTCCTATCTCTCTCTCCTTCATGATTTCCTATCTCTCCACTCTGACCACGAATTAACACATTTTTTTCCATCCACCTCGTTCCAGCTCTGACCCGCAGTCGCTCAGGAGTGGAGGCGAAAACGGTGGAAGATTACGTAAAGAAAGTCTTAGCACAGGGTGTGATAACGGAGGAGGAGGCGAAGGCATGGATCACCAACTAAATGGCCTGGAAGTCGATTCATCCGTAATTTTGTTAAAGTCTGTCCTACGACGGTGGTTGTTCAGCTTGATTTACGTTACGGCGGTTGGTTCAATGTTCGGTGAATAGTTTTTTTTTTGTTATTCATTTTTTTGATTATTGTTATTGTCCTTTTATACTTGTTATTGGCAATAAAATAAAATATTTCTCATTATCAATGTTATTATTACACGTATAAGATTCTCTCTCGCTCTCTCTCTCTCGCTCCCTCTCTCTCTCTCCCTCTCTCTCTCTCTCTCTCTCTCTCTCCCTCTCTCTGCAAATTATAAACCGAATTCTTTTCCACCTACGTCTCCTTTCGTCCTTTAAATAACCCGACAAGTCATTCTTTTAACGCCACACCTCACACCCCCACCCCTCACTCCCCCTCTCCCTCCCCCTTCTCTCCCCCCACCCCCCTTTCCCTATCAACCCCTCGACCCCTCTGCCTTATCCCCCCACCCCCTCTCACCCTCCCTGCCCGTCGTACCCCTTCCCTAATATCCCGAGAGCTCCACTTTTCAGTTCTTTACTCTCTTGTCCTCCTCTTTCTCCGCTTCTCTTTCTTCTTCTCCCTCTCTCTTTCCTTTCTCATTCTCGCTTCCGATTCCTCTGTTCACCCTTTCCCTCCCTGTTCCGTTTCTCACTCTCCCTCTTTCCCTTTTTCCCTCTCTCTCTCTCTCTCTCTCTTTCCCCTTTTCCCTCTCTCTCCCTTTCCTCTTTCTCGTCCCCTCTCCCTCTCTCCCTCTCTCTTTCCCGCTCCATCTCTACCCTTCCCATTCCTACTCTCCCTTTCCCCTTTCCATTCTCCTTCCTGCTTCCCTTCCTCTTCCCCCTCCTCCTCTCCCTCCCCCGTCCCCCTCCTCCTCTTCCCTCACCCGTCCCCCTCCTCCTCTTCCCTTCCCCTTCCCCCTCCTCCTCTCCCTCCCCCTTCCCCCTCCTCCTTTTCCCTTCCTCTTCCCCATCCTCTTCTCCCTTTCCCTTCCTCCTCCTCCTCTTCCCTTCCTCTTCCCCCTCCTCCTCTCCCTTCCTTCCCTCCTTCGGTCCTCCATGACGTGCAACATCATGAACGAAGGTCAGGGATCTCATACCGTGTTGCTAACTGCATTTGGATAAGATAGATAGATAGATAGATAGATAGATAGATAGAGAGAGAGAGAGAGGTAAAGAAAGAGAGAGAGAGAAAAAAAAGAAAAAAAATGATTGCAATAAACATACACATACCCCCCCCCCCCACACCACACACACACATACACACATATACTCACACACACACACAATTACATGTACATAAACCACCATGGTACAGGTGAGAACTGACAAAAATTTACTCTTACAAACAAGCTAGATTTTATTACTGTTTATCATTTCCCCGATTGCATTTCTGACGTCACAGATTTACCTTGAAATCTCCCCCCCAAAAATATATATATGGGATTCTTTTGCGGAGTAGTTCATATCTCAATAGTCAGAAAACTTCATTAAGTTTAATTCTAATAACACAAAATGTATATGATCGCCTGTATTCTGAAATATCACCCAATATTATTGTTTATATTTAAGTGATTTACCGAAAATTTTATCACCTTTACTTCCTCTCAAAATCGAATTACAGTGTACGTAATTTTGACTTACATAGAATTTTCAAAACAGATAACTGCTATGACAAAATCAGTGGTCGTATTTTTTTTTTTTTTTTAACAAACTCAATTTAAATATACGAAATAGTCATCGACGGGACAAAACACGAAAGAAAGAATTTATAAAGAATGATTCCCTAACGACTACAAACGCGTTAAAAAGTGGAGGTTGATTTTATCTGATATGCCACATCTTGCAATACGAGGCTTTTGAAGGAACTGTGTGATATCATAATGGTATTTGCTGAGGTGTGTTTTTACAGGGGAGAGGAGACTGCAGGGGGACGCTTTCTTCACTTCGCGACATAACCAGAAGTAGGGGAAAAAATTGAATATTATTGTGTGTACAATGAGGTGAAGCCAGGGACAGTTGGTGTCCTTCCTGCCTTAACTCTGTCTCTCTCTTTCTCTCCACAGTCACTCCCACACACACGCACACACACACACACACACACACGTACACACACACACACACACACAGACAGCAGGCGTATTTATACAGAGTTATAAGAAAACGAGCAGATTACGAATACGGATGTAATAGATACAAGAGATAGTTTTTGTGTTTTTTGTTCTTTAATGTTCACTCGTAGATTTCCTGTACATTTACATAATTCAGGTTGTTATATAATAATATATAACTTAATCTGTAAAGTGAGACAACACTGGATTCTGGCTGACTTGGCGAGATTCTTGTCCTTGGCTCGCTGTTGAATGCGCTTTTCGATTCTTTGCAGTTTCCTTAATCGTTTCTTATCTACCTTTTGTTTTCGTCAGTTTTGGTTTTGGTTTATGGAATATGTGCAATAAGATGCGATTTATGCACACACACACACACACACACCACACACACACACACACACACACACACACACACACACACACACACACACACACACACACACACACACACACACACACACACACACCACACACACACTTATCTTTCTTCTCGTCTCTCTCTCTCTCTTCTCTCTCTCTCTCTCCTCTTCTCTTCTTCTCTCTTCACTCTCTCTCTCTCTCTCTCTCCCTCTTTCTCTTTCTTTCTCTCTTTCACACTCTCTCTCTATCTCTCTCTGCCTGTGGAAAATACCTGGTGTATTATCCTCCACCAAACTGAAGGCATACCAGGCCTCCATGAGACCAGTACTGATGTATGCTTGTGAGACCTGTAAGAAAGTCTGATGTAGCTCGCATTCAGGCATTCGAGTTCCATTGGAGGCACATACTCAAACACTGTTATCTTGATCGGGTAATCCAACAACACGCAGAGAGGATCTCCTTCACAGAACACCTCACTCATCCTGGTCATGTCTTACGTGTGGATCAGTGACGTTTAGTTAAAGCGGTGTTTATGACAGACCCTGCACTTGCCAGAAAACGCCCACGTACGAACGACATGCCTGCCCACTATCCTGAAGGACCACCCTCCCCCACACACACACCTTATAGCTGCAGCACATTTACCATTCGTGTGGAACAATGGCTGGAGGCATATCCTTATTGACTGTGCTTCTAATCAATGGAATGTTCTTGAGATTGCAAGGACGGAGTTGCAAGGACGCCTGTGACTTATGATGATGATCTCTCTCTTTCATCAAGTTATCTCCACAGAAGATGAGCTCGAGATAATGCAATTAGCAACAAGTTATAAATACATTACCTTTGTAGGCCATATGACCGTGCAGTCTCCAATTCACCTTACTGATTTACTGATTGATCACAAGATGCAATTGATATAGATAAATTCACTAATCTCACTGCGAAATAATAAGGGAATTATTTTCTAATATAAGACAATTTGCATGGACTCTTGAGTTTTTTTTTTAATCCTCTTTGAATAAGTAATTATTTTTTATACATATTTTGTATTTCTTGTATTTATGAGCAAAATTTATGTTGAATGAAGAACATGTATTCAAAACATATATAATTCACTTTATTTTCTCAAAAGTTTACAAAAGACATCAAATTTGCATAGAGATCACAGTGGCAGTTCAGACATAAAGACTATTAAATGTAATAATTAATCAGACATACTAGACACAATAAAGAAAACGAAATTGAAGGGGTAACAGATGAAAAAGGAAAAGGATTCCCTCCCCCACCATCCCTCTCTCCCTCTCTCTATCACATTATACGAGGTATGGTTTTGCTTCTTCATCGGTGACCAGTCCTGCCTTAAGAGCCTTCTGAATGAAGTCTTTGATAGCGGCATTCAAAACACCGGATTTGCTGCGAGTGTTGGCTGCAAAGGAGAACAGGACAGGAGGTTAATGCTAAGGAAGTATGTATTGCATTGTTGTCTCCTTGTGTCGAAGTGTATGTGGTACTTTTGTGCACTGTATTGTTGTATTTCATTTTGATGTGTTATTACACCTTATTGTAATGTATACCATTAGTTTTTAAATAGTGAAATAGCATATTGTATATGACATGTTATGGTTATCTAAACGTATGGTTGTTATGCATTCTTGCTTAAGTTTATCACTCGTATAAAGTAAGTGCACGGGCATAGGTGTATAGCTATATGGTCATTTATGTAATTTCAATTGTGTATATAAACATACATTAATAAATAAATAAATGTGTATATACACATACACACGCACACATATATATTCTCGTATATATATATATGTGTGTGTGTGTGTGTGTGTGTGTACGTGTGTGTGTGTGTGTGTGTGTGTGTGTGTATGTGTGTGTGTGTGTATGTGTGTGTGTCTATGTATGTATGTGCGCGTGTGCGTATACAACATTATTATCATTATTATCACTATTATCAACACCATCCTCGTTAGCCACTCACACTCTCCCCTGATGGTGGTCCAGCCCGGGCACGTGACGGACCCGATGAAGTAGAGCTCAAAACCCTGGATATCGGGCTTAACACTGTATGAGCAGGAATGGTCGACCAAATCAACGTCTCCATTCCTCCATAAGCTGTAGAGGAAAGGAGAGAAAATGAATGATAGTAGAAGTTAGATATTAGTAGTGGTTAGATAGTAGATAGTTGTGGTCAGAGAGAGAGAGAGAGAGAGAGAGAGAGAGATGGAAAGAATGCCAATGGTATTCAGCGATTGATGACCGAGGTAGGAAGAGAGGAAATTAATAATTCTAAGGATTAGTGGCTGAACTGGATTTGAAATGTGTTTTTTTTTTATCTTTTAATTCTTGATATGGTGATACTGATAACGATAACAGCACTACTGCTACGACTCTTATTACTGACAGTGAAAAAAAACTGGCAATAACATCGTCACGTGATCAAATTGCAAATAGAACGAATGGGGGAAAGTTAAGGTCAACCCACAATGCACCAAAATACCGAAAATCTAACGTCTCTTTTCCTCCCTGAAGATAATTCTCGAAGCTAAAAGTTAATGGCCCAGGATTCAGTCTCTCCTTCGGGTGCCACTTACTCTTTTACTTGGGTGGTGACGGCGGGTAGAATGAGATCCTTTAACCCGAACCCGTGGCATCGTGGCGTCAAAGGTGCCACCAGTGCCACAACCAACACGGCACTCACGAAAGTTGAACTCAAACCCATTGTAGATTAGAAGTGTGTTTAACGGATACTTTGTGGTTTTATGAGC